GGATACGTCAATATGCTTGGTCTAACAAGCAATTACATATGAGCGGAACACTGACTGTGAGAGACATGGGCAGATGTCAAAAATACCATACTTAGTGGAGTGAGAGAAGCCAGATTACCAACCAGTATGTTGCACACAATTCCACTGAAATGAAATTTAAGAATAAGCCGATGAATGGGTGGTGTAAAAAGGTGTTACGCCTCTGGTGGGACTGGTGTTGACTGGGAAAGCAGATCAGGACTTTGTGGAGAGGCAGACATGTTCCCCACCAGTCTCGCTGTGGGTGTGGCTTCCATCAGAGGGGTGCCAGCAAACAGCACCCACCATACAGGCAATTACCACAGGAAACATGTATTTTAGTCAAAAACTAATTACGTCAGGTTGTTGTCGGAACCTAAAGCAGAGCTCAAGAGAAGGGAGGGTTACAGATGAAACGTGGACTTCGGAGAAGGTAAAATCACACAGAAGGTGGTCTCTGTGGAGATGGAGGGCACTGGGAACTTTCAGCAAAGTATGACAGGGTTTGTTCTTACAGCTGGCATTTTTTGTTTGTTTTGGTTTCTTTGTTTGCTCTTGGTTTTGTTTTTTTTTTTTTTTTTTTTTGAGACAGAGTTTCTTTTCTCTGTGCAGCCCTGGCTATTAGGGAACTCACTCCGTAGATGAGGCTGACCTCGACCTCAGAGATCCACCTGCCTCTGCCTTCTGAGTGCTGGGATTAAAAGCACGTGCTACCACTGCCTGGCTACAGGTTTGTTTTTTTTTAACAGTTTCCTGGTTGCTGAATAGAAAAAGGATCAGAAAAGAGGCTTGGGAATAAGGAAAGTACTAGAAATATTTGGCTGAGAGATTGAAGTAGGTTGAAGTATTGGTTGTACATATTTAGAAAAAAAATAAAATCCTGAGTTATTGCCTCTGTCTTGAATGTCACTCATGTAGGCTTTTACCACAGAATTCTTGCTTGATTTCCGCCAGAAGGACTGCTTAAGAGTGTTTTTCTTCCGAATTACTCTTTTCTTTATTCATGAAATTACATATATACCTATATATAAAATATTTGTATGCTTTTTGAGGTGGGTTAGCCAGCTACACAGTTTGTAATAAAGTCAACTAAGTGGTTACTACTAAGTGGTTATGCAGTGTTGATCTCCTGGTGTTTAACCAAGAATAGTAGAACACACAGATGTGGAGGTATTGTCTCTGTATTCTTGAAGTCACTGGATCACAAACAACTGATTAGGGGACGAACAAGAAGAGCAAACGGAGGAGGAATAAACATGAAGGGAAGAGTCTGATCCCACGCTCCTGGGGGTTTCCTAGAAAACAGGTGTGGGGCTGAGTCAGCCGCCCTCTCCTAGAGCCGTCTCTTCCTTAAGCATTGAGGACCAGAATGAGCAGGAAGAAGAGAGGGGACACTAAGCTCTTGAGGCACCCCAGTCTCCTCAGAGTTCTATCTGATCCTGTTTCCTTTCAATAAATTAAATACTGTTTTATGAAGGATGTAGACTGGGCCCTGCAGGACCCACTGAACGGACCAGGTCAGATTTCACCCCTGGTCTGGGTTTGTATTATATACTAAAAACACACAACGTAGACGTTTTAAGAGGACGGGGACGCAAGGACATGTGCACAGACCTTTCCTGTTTCCACGAGGAAGCTTCTAGATCTGAGTCAGCTTTCCAGCTGATGCTTGGTTGACACCGAGAGAAAACTTAAGTGAGATGCGTTTCTGAACATTGGCCTGCTTAGATAAACTGGTACAGCGCAGAGGGACTCCGGAGAACGGCATGACCCGTGTAATGTCCATTGCTAGCAGCCATAGAGACGGACTCCCACTGTCCAGGAAATGTGAACAATCGTGTTTCTGTGTGTGTTAGATATGAACATGCATTGAGCAGGCCTATGCTTTTCTATAAGTTGCCATATTCAGAAAAACAATACCAGTGTCCTTCTGCTCTGTGGATAAGCTGTTCAAAATGAAGGCCGAGATGTCAGCGAGTTCTCTGCTAATGGCACCTTATCTTCACAGGAAGACAGCTACTCCACAAACTCCGAGCCTCCGAAGCAAATATTCCCCCAGGCTTCAAAGATTATACAAAGGCTTGAAGCTACCTCTTTCATGAGAAAAGTTACCAAAAGTCGAAAATTAACTGATTAAGGACATAAGAGATGTACTCAGATAATCAAACACGATGCGCCCGTCTGTCGACAGCTCAGACTGATATGTGAACATTTAATTTTCACTTTCATTTCCAGCCGGGAAAGGAAAAGGCCTCAGCCAAGAAGTCTGGAGTGCCAATGTGCTCCTAATCCTTTGTAGCTGGCTGTCCTGAAGTCACTGGGGGCCGACCGACCTTCCTTTCTTCTAAGAGGAAATTGAAGCCTGTTACCAACTCTCCCAGAGTCCAAACACAGAGGCACACCACTACACGCACACTCCAGATCTTACAGGCATGCTGTCCTAGCAAACGACAGAGAAACAAACGCTGCGACCTGTTTCTAACAATCTGCTGCATATACCAAGCCTACACTCTTGTTTTTCTTTGATTCCCTCACGTGGGCATGCTCTGGGATTTGTTTCCCACTTTCTGCCGATCCACCCATCATTCCCTTCCCATTTAAGTCTTTTGTCACTGAAAACTGACACATGATTGCTGTATATTTGGGAATGTTCCACAGTACGAGCTCCCATGGCCTGTCTTTCCTCAGTACTGTGTTCTACAAGGCCCATCAGTGTGGTCATAAAGATGAAATGGCTGTCACCCCTCCCCCATTCAAGAAAATGAACAGAAAACACTTAAAATGGTTCTTAGCCAGGAGCATTTTATCCCTTATTCACTAGTGGTAAATGAGTCAGATATGAGTTGGCCAAGAAAAGGGCTGCCTTACCCAGAATCCGAGTACAAAATGAGTCATCTCCCTCCAAACACCAATATATCCTCCAAAATAACTGGCAAGAATTTCCTATGAAAAGAATTTGCCTTTGCTCTTTCCATCCATTTAACTCTCTGATTTTTTTTCTATTTTTTCAATTTCCTGTGTGATTACAATATTGCATTCACAACAAAGGCCCAGGGGCCTTTCCTTTATTTTTGCCTGCTGAGCAGGGGGACGATTCCGATTGCAAACCCTGGGTCAATCTCCCGTGTTCTCTCCACCCCTCCCCGCCCCCACCCGTCTCCATCATCCCGTTCAAGAAGTCGTACATAGTTTAACTGAAACATAGGATCTGGTTCCAGGAGAATTGTTTTCTGTCCCTTTGTTGAGGGAAATAAAAAACCACAGAAGATAGTTCAAGTCAAACCATTCCTTTACTTCGATAATAAAATAATCACAGTTGGTATGATCTGTCTGAAAAGGATAAACAGACAAGAAACCTGGCTTCCGCTCTGCCTTTCTGCTCACCAGGACTCAGCGTTCATGTGTCCTACATGTCCTCCGTGGAAGGGCAGAGTCACGGGGAACCGAGACTGGGTTCATTCTTACAGATTCTTAGGAGCCAAGCACAAGATTTACCACAGAATACGTAGATGTGCTTGCAGAGGTAGTGCCTGCCACAGCGCCGAGATTTTTTATATTGCTTGGGGTTCACAACATCTCATGTTATTGTTAATTATCTGAAGCGCTGCAATTTCATGGCCAGAGTTACTTAGAATTCACTTCGCCCAGCGTGGAATTCACCGCACTTTGCTGTGTTAAATGTATTCTGAAGAATAGCCTTGCTCTTTTCGATCCCACACTAACAGATGTTAGCTTCCTCGGTTTTACGGCCCTCAGATGACAACTAACTGGTTTTGGCCTTGGGAATCACTGCAACACCTCTGGATTATGAACCTGGTTCAGTTCTGAGCTGGGGACAGCGGGGGGCTAGTTCACATAATATCAAAGATGTAAAACACGTTTCCCCCTCTCTCCAGGTACTGCGGGGAAATGCCTTCGACTTCAGCATCACACAAGGGATCTCCCCATTGGTAATCTTCTCCTCAGCTGGTTACAGCAAGAGAAAACATAGGCAGAAAGATTAAATCTCTTGTTCAGTGTATCAACTGTTTGGACGCAAACACGATGTTGAATCCATTAAACCGGGAGTATCCAGCTAAGGCAAGAAAGCCAGAACAGCTCACATTCATGTGTTTGGGAGGTGGCAGGCTCTGATGTTACTGATGCAGGGAGCTGGAGTTCCTTCTCAGAAGCAAGCCCCAGAGTTATGCCTGACATAAGCCCAGAGACAAGATGTGACCTTGCAGCCAGCTGTGGAAGGCACCAGTCCGGCTGGTCACAGCGGACTGTAAAGAAATATTGAGGGTAGCATCCTCATCAGGATGAGGGAATGGGCAGGACAATGTACAAGCTGACAATGGTTCCTTAAAGAGTAAGCAGGCAACTCCACTCCCCACCCCACTCTGGGTACATATGAAGACAAATTGAGAAATTCTCCTCATGGAATATAGAATAGAGTCAGCCTCATTTCTCCTAGACTTCACACACACTCCTGTCTCCTTGGCAAGCACCTTCCATCTTTACACACGTAGACCCAAGGAGACCCATGTATGTATACAATCCCTGGCCCCTGACCAGCATCCCACACAGCTTCACCTTCCTGTGTTCCATTTCTTATATCAGAAATTATAAATGATGAGAAGAAGAAAGAACATCTGGGAAAATAGAGATAAGGAGGGGAAGACATGAAGTCCCCAAGCAGCCCTTTCCAGGGTGACCTGCACTTAATTGCCCAGCGAGGAGTGGTTTTTCTCACCATCTATCTCACGCTCTCTTTCTCTGTGAGCCATGTGCTCCAGCTCTTTTTTTACCCAGGAAGAATGAAATAGTTGGGTTCTCCACAGCCTAGAGTATATACTCTGCCATCTGTGGCTTTGGAGAAAACAGCTGGAGAAAGTAGAAGACGTAGGCGAAGAAGAAGCAGGAAGAAAGCTCCAGAATGCCAGCAATGAGTCTAGACATTCCTGGCCACATCACCCCCTCCCCCCATGCTGGGTCCATACCTGCCATCTTCCTGAGAGAATGGCTGTTCCACATCGACCGTCAGAGAGGCTAGTGCAGACACGGTCTCCGACTCCTCTTGCAGCTGAGAACCAGGCAAAGCACAGCCCCTTGCAACAGCCACCATCTTGATCGACTTCCAGTACTTGCCTAGAAAAAAATCCACATGTTTTGCAGGAATTTCAGATCAATAGTAATCACAGTATGATTACAGGTTCAAGTCTTTTTGCTATGCAGTTGTAATTTGGTTTCTGAACTGCTGTAATTAAGTCCTTTTGGGGGGACGCTAAGGATGCCAAGTTGTGAAGTACTCATGGTCCCAAGCCAAGATCTCAGCCTTGCTTGGAAAGCAATAAAGCAAGGAGTAATCTACGGTCTAATAGACTTGCTCACAGACTGACAGATGTCCCTACAACTAAATAAGCAAACTCTAAGCATCACGCCCTTTGTGAAACCCTCAAGAGACCCGGGAGGTAGAAGTCTCCTGCAGAAAAATGAATGAAACAGCAATCTTAAAAGTCGCTACTTGAACCATTACCTTGCTTTTTTAAAAAAAATGAAGTTGGAACACCAAAGGAAAAGAAAACCCAGAGATGCCAGCATGAATTGAACGGCACCTTTGCCAGAACAATCAGGTTTGTTAGTCCTGGATGTTCTTTCATTCTCAACCTCAGGGTGTGTACTAGAGCAATAATTGATTTAAAACTTTAATATATGCGCTGGCTGATGTTGGACTTCATCCATATGCCATATTGATCTTTCTTCTTTTCTCTCTCTCTTCCTTTTTGCTTTTTTGGCACAGAAGAAGAAATGGAGGGAAGTGGGTCATTTCTTTTAGAAGTTCCAGTGGATAAATGTCCGAGGGACAGAGGCAAAGGCACACAGTCAGTAAGACTCATTTTTTTAAAAAAAAATTTTATATTTTTTAGTTGTTAAGCTTTGAGTGGTCTCAAACACTCAGTCAAGACTGTCCACTTTCAAACTCTGTGTACTGACCAACAAGAAAGGAACTTGGCATGGCAAGGGTTGACTTATTTTAAAACAAGAAGGTATTGTTTGAGAGCAGAAGATAGTTCCATACTGAACTGTAAAGTAAGATCACAGCCCTGGGTCCGGCTCTGCTTTCAGCCATTTTTACCTTGTGTCTAAGTCTTCCTGGGATCTTGTCCTTTCCAGTTCTAATTTATGAAAGGAGGATCAGTCTCTATCCACTCTCTGCATCAACACGACCTTCAGATGTAGGTGCCCACTACTGCTACCCTTACAGTTATCACAATTCCGGCCATAGTCTAGGAACTCAAAGCTTTCAAATCTTACCAAACAACAAGTTCAACAATGGACTCACAAGCTTTTTTTTTTTTTTTTTTTTTTGGAAAATAATGCTGCGCCAGATTTTCTTAACTTCACTAAAGAAAGGGATGACCCTGTTGAGGAGTTCTGTTAGCTGGTGACATCAGTCCTGCAAGGTAAAAACCTCAGAGCTCTCAGGAGTAGAGAAACAGCAGAGCTACCCATGGTGATGGCAACATAAGGGCAAGTTAAGAGGGGCAAAAGTGGTACTTGAGAAACAAGCAGAAGGCGACTGAACTAAAATGGAAGGAGGCACAATGCCAAGTGTTCGTGGCAGAGGAAGCAGGATGTTGCAGGGATCTGATAACTCTGTGGCTTATTGAGGACCATCAGCTGGTAGGCACAAGAATGACAGAGGGTGAGGTGAGTGAGGCGGTTTGGTAGGCAGGGAGTAGCTGGCACTCAGTCTTGAACCTGAGAGAGAGAACTCAGTTTTCTTTTTAAAAAGGTTGCTCTGGAGACACGAAGAAGGGCAGATAGAGGGCTGGCAAGAATGGAAACAGGAAGATCAATTTCATATCTCATCAACCTAGAGCTGGAAAGGATATCTACCTAAAGGCAATGAGGTTTTGGGTAAGACTGAGGAGATACAGTCAGGGGCTTAGGACGGGGTATGTCTGAGCACATTCTTCAGCATCCCTCTATCTTTCAACTGTGAATGTTATCCCTGATTGACAGATCCGCTCTAAGTCTTAAACTGTTCTATATAACAGAGTCATTATTGTCTGACCCAAGTCAGGAAATACATAGCGCCCTCCCCCCAACTAGACAGGTCTGCATGGGGCCTCAGGAGCTATCACTACTGGACTTGTTTTGGTACTCGATATCCAGGAAGCTAGTGCCCCACGCTCCCTTGCAGATGATCTGGCATATCTACAGCCTCAAGAAGAGCGTTCTTGGCCATAAAGGAAACAGACGTATTTACATCCACTAGACCATGAGGAAAGACAACACGAATTATGGGCAGCAGCCTTTGAGAACTGCTGACAATGGCGGCCCTTCCAGAGTTACTACATGGATGTGAGTAGCAGAAAAGCCGTAAATCGGTGAAGCTTTTTAAAATATATTTTAGCATGTATAAAATATACTGCAAAGTTAAGATTAAAGTTTGACTTTATACACGACTTACTGATTTAGGCAAAGTCTATCAAAACAAAGGAATAGTCAACACTAGTAATACACAGATAGGCCACTATCTGTCTTTATAAAGGAGAAAACTTTAACTGGAGGCAGGTACAACCCAGACGGTGAGCTATAGAGTCAGCTCAAACCCTGTAATTTATGGAATATTTTCACATGATGTGTGGATTTTTTTTCTTTTCAGAAACAGATGTGCAAAAAAATCATATCTAATGGCTTGGGAATAATAACATCATTAGCACACATGAGAAATGATCCAAGATTTGTATTGGAGTTTTCAGGGACTGCTATTCATAAAGTAAAATATCAGTAGCCACCACTCCTGGGTGCTCGCTCCTATGGCAATAAAACTGGCAGAGGAGAGGGGTCTTCAGCTCAAACTGGGCGAACACCGTCCTCTTGGGTCATGTTCTTTATCCTCATCCATTTCTCCCACCATGTAAATCTTCCCACTTTTCAGCACGCTTTAAAGGAAAAGAACAATTTAGCCCTCACCGTTCTGCAGTTTTGTTTTTCCTGGCCAAGGGAAAGTGAAGAATGAATCGACAATAAAAGCACAAAGTGGGATGGTGGAATGCGGCCAGGCCAGAGCGGGCAGGCGCGAAGTGTGGACAGTGTGCTTGGGTCAGAGCGGGTGTGAGTGTAGACAGTGTGCTTGGGTCAGAGCGAGTGTGAGTGTGGACAGTGTGATTGGGTCAGAGCAGGTGCCAAGGGTGCGCCTGGCAGGGACTGTTTGCTGGAGGAATGACCATGGGAATAAATAGGTAGCTTTGACATAAGGAGATTTGTGATGCAAATAATCCACTGACCTTGAAGCTTCTCATCCCGGAGCCCCAAGGTCACTTTGAGACTCCTGGGCCTGCCAAAGCTCTCTCTTCCCCATTCCATTGGGAACCTTGGAGTACTCAGAATGAGATTTGTAGGTTTCACCTTTTTGCCGTTCGATGGACCCTTCACTTTTCCACAGCATGCTCTTCTAGGTGGAAGGCTGCCTCTGACTCCAACCATAGCGACACTTGGGGTTTGTGATAGGCCCAGATCCTAACTTCGCCGTAACTTAATACTTGTTAGAATTCGCTCATAGCTAAATGGAGAATTTTATGAGGACCCAAAATATTGCATAGGTATAAAAATAAAGATACTCTTAAAATTTGACGTATGAAATGAGTGGCCAGTTAGTGTTTTCCCACAAACTGATAGAAGTTTGCCTCCTACATGTGCGCGCCCAGTCCTGCATCCGTCCGTCTTTGGCAGGGGCAGGGCTGCCAGTGCTGGCTTATGATTCACTTTTCATCCTTCCTGCACATCTGCTAAGATGATAACGGACGGTCATCTGTGGTCCAGGCCCCTCTTAATTCCTTCCTTTCTCATTCTTTATTTCTGAGTTTGTCTTTTGAAAAAAAGGGAAAGGAAAACCCGGGGAAGGGCTGGGTTATCATTTCACTGAAGTTTTATGCAGATCTGAGGGTGGACGGCCATTCTTCACCCTTTGTTGTTATGGTACCCTTCATATTTAACCCTAAAATGAATCTCGTGTCTCGCTTCTGCTGACCTTCCCTAGTGTCCCTATGGTTTGGATTTTATTCGTTTCTCTAAACAGGTTATTTGTTAATTTTTTTAAATATGTTCATATTTTGTTGAACACAATGTTCCTATGCACTGAAGACTTGAGTTAGGGATACTTGCCTCCTGAAAGAAGGTTCACTGGCATCTTTCAGAACCCGAGTTAAATAACAAACAACTTCTCTAAGACCTCCCAAGCTTTCCTAACCCGACTGTTGACAGATACTGGACGTGTGTGCGCACGCCAGGCTCCGTCGTGAACGTACACACCTTCCTCGTCACGTAGGTGCCACTGCCCCCTGCTCTTTAGGACGCTTCAGCTTAGTTTTCTCCTCTCTCTGATCTGTTTCCCCACATCTTAGGGAGTTCAGTAATATATTAAAGTTTATTCTTTCGTACATATACTAAATCTTTTTGTTTTTAGGTAGGGCCTGATGAAGCTTCTGTCCAGTTACAGCTGAAAGAGGAAGTTTGTGGGATTCTAATTTTACTTAGAAAATAGGGTGGAGACAGAGACACCTAGATTAAAAAAAAATGAACTTGGATATCACAGTCCTACAGAGGAGCAAAATCTTAGGTTTTTGTTGTTGTTGTTTGTCTCCTATTGAGAAGACCTTCAGTAACATACCTGGCCTTGCGAGGTCTCAAGTGGTCATGGATGTTTCGCATTATAGAGGTGTGTGGGGACCAGACATAGTGTATGGGGATACAGAGCAAGTGCTCTTCCCCTTAAATCCAGCCTTCTGGTCTGTTCTGCCTTAGATAATGGGGTCCTGCTTGGTGACATCTTAGGAGATGCTCTCCTCCCCAGAGCACTCCCATTGGCAAAGAGGGTTCCGGCTCAGACGCATGCTTTACTTTCTTTGTTCTTTGGGTTTTCATTAGCTTGGATTGGTTATTCATGTGAAAGAAAACTTTTCCAACTGCAGATGCAGTGGGGAAAAAGCAAATTACCGAACCAAGTTAAATCTCTAAGCAGATGGAAGAATTTCTGCTTTTATTTGGGTGCATTTTAGAGCCGGGGCTCCTCCACGCGAGAGTCAGAGTCTTAGTGTTTCAAGAAAATGGCTAATTAGAAATTCAGAATGGGCTTTGAA